AGTGAGCTTGGCGACCAGGCCCTTCTGCTCGACCATCTGCAGCGACCACTCCTCAAACCCTGCACAGCACCTTGAAGCTTGCGGTCGAGGTTTGCGAAGCTTGCTGTGGGCCATGGACACCTGGTGCTGCAGCGTGGGCTCCTTCGCGGCGGGCGGGGGCTTGACCAGCTCACGGTGCCGCGCTGCACCCAGCGCATCACCCGACTTGGCCAGCAGCTCCGCCAACGCCGCATGCTCGTCGCGGGAAATAGCGTTGGCGGGAGCGCGAGCTTGGGCCGCAGGAGCTGCACCACCCTTGCCACCTCCGCTGTCGGCCAGTGAAAAGCAACCAGGCGGACCAGAGGACACGAGAAGGGGCTGGCACCGCCACCGAGACCACTCGACCATACTCCACCAGGAGCCCCAAACATGGGAGGTGAGCACGGCTGGAACGGTGTCCACTCGGTGCCGCAGTGCTTGCAGCGCCTCCAGCGCACCTCGTTCTTCTTGCAGCCGCAGGACCCGCAGGCCCAAAGGGCTGGAGGGGCGGGTCCTTCGAGACCAGGAACACGCGCAACCCATGGAGGAGGAGCAGAAGAGCCACCAGAGTACAGCGCGAGCTCCTTCTCGAGGTCGGCAGCAGACGGGACACGCTGGCCTCCTTTGCCTTGCTTGCCGACATCTCCAACACCAGGCTTGCCCCTGCCGCCTTTCCCCATGGCGGCGGAATGATGTGAAAGAAACCGTGAGGGAACGGCCCTCGACCGAAACTTCATGACTCGCAGGCACAAGATGCCGTTTCGAATCGTTGTACCCGCAACGCTCAATGGCTTGAGCGCAAACCGGCTGCCGCGGCCCTTGGCGGTGCTGCATATGCCGAGCAGGGTCAGACTCGTCCTCAGCTCGTACACCATTGTGGGCGAGTGCCTGCAGGTGCTGTTGAAGCCGACGATCTGGTCCCTGGACCACAGCCCTGGCTTCCAGAGAACCAAGGAGCCGTTCAACAGCGAGATCCTGACCAGCGAGATGCAGGTCATCACTTCCGAGATGATCGTAACAATTGACGTCCTCGACAACGTGAAGCCGACGAGCCAGCTCATGGACTCCCTTTCGACATCCAGGAAGACGTTGCAGCCAAGGTTGAAGCCACAAATGGTAAACGCAGCGAGATCATGGACACCAAAGGCTCAGGCCGTTATTTTCCATACTGGCGCGCCCAACAACATCCTAGACAACGTGAAACCGATGGCCCAATCTTTGCCATCCAGAACGACGTTGCAGTCCAGGTCCGGCAAGTGACGGAGGATGTTGCAGCGAAGGTCGGAGTCACCATTGGTATCAGTAGAGAGATCATGGGCACAAGCGAGGATCAGGCCGTCACCTCCCGCCCTGGCGCGCCTATCGACATCCCAGACAACGTGAAGCCCATGATCCAGTCCATTGGCATACAGGGAGACGTTACAGACCAAGACTCGCCGAAGGTGACGCGCAAATTTGAGCAGTCTGATCAGCCTGGTAAAGCAGGCTGCCTTGGCGCGCTTGATTATATTCCTTTGAGCAAGAACTGTTCCAGTGAGCTTCAGGCGAGCCTGAAAAAGAACGTGTCTCGATTTCAGAAGTGGACACGTGGGACTTGGAATGGTCCACAGCTCAGCTCCCCTCCACCAAACGATGAAGGAATCCATCAACGCCGAACTGTTGTCAAACAATCACTCGCAAAATGGCTTCAACATCGCCACCGATATGCTAGACATCAGATCGGATCCCGTGTTTGCCAAACAGTTCCACGAAATCTTTGGCCTGATCTCCTCGAGCGCTTTTCGCAGATCGTCACGGACCCAGTCCGCACGGGAAACCTCCTTTTCAACCACCCGTACTTGTCAGCCTCACTGATGATGAAGGCCACCAGCGAGAAGGTTACGGGCCAATGCAACTCGAAACCTCCGTCTTCGAGCTAGGGTTGCTGAGCGGGCAACCCCTTGAGGCCTCCTCCTCCACCAACCTCGGCAAGTGAGGTGTAACTGGCCCGCTCTAGGTTGAATGCTCCGCTCGTGGTCAGAACAGATAGGGAGCCCACAAAGAACGTACGCGCCCAGCTATGTACATGAACACGGCCCCTCGATCCGCGAGACCAGCCGCGTTATACGAACATTTGCGCAATGCGTACTCTCGAAACCAACGTGGATTCATGTACGTGTACGTCCTTCTGTCGCTCCTGAACAGATCTGATTACACCCGAGGCGATCTTCGTGAGCGAATTGCGAGGTCCCGATCTCGACAGTTCCGTTCGAATCCATGAGATCGGCCGATCCTCGGCCCAGCTGCTGCTTGCGCTTGCTGCCACCGCCTCCTCCCCCCTCGGTGCGGTGCGCGATCGGCAACGCCGAGTGCACGAGGAAAGGTCGCGGCTGCTGTCAGCTCTCCAGGGCAAGATGTGTCCGCCCGCGTGTTGCGTAGACTGGCACCGTTCTGGCGCGAGCCGCCCGTCGGGCACACCCGGCACAAGACACGGAGCTCATTCCGCTCAGCCAGCCCTAGCGCTCCAGTCCTTGAGCTGGGTAAGCTACGAAACAAACGCAAATCAAAAACATCCCCTTCCATCATCCCCTGACCGGACGGGTCTTGAGGCTGGCACCAAGTAGAAACGATGGGCGGTTTTGAGGCCTCAGGGCGTCCGTCTCGCTTTAGAGAGAGCCCCCGCCACACAGGCCACAAAACGTCGCGGCTCAGATGTCACAGTGAGGTCGCGTCAACCTTGGTGGAGGGGAGGATGTGGAGGGGTACGAGGAGGAGGAGGAGGAGGAGGAGGAGGAGGAGGAGGAGGAGGAGGAGGAGGGGGAGGAGGAGGGGGAGGAGGAGGAGTGGCGTGTGAGATATTTGGCTCCCCCCCTCCCCCTGTCCCCTTCCCCCAAGGTTTAAACTCTCGTTTCAGGGGAGGAGGGGGTATCCGTGTTCCCTGGCGCACCCCGGGAGCCTCTGGAGCCTCCAAATCTGCATCCCGTGGCCTTCACGACGTTCCAAGACGGTCCCGCATCGCCGAACGATCGGGGCAAGACGCCCAGGCCTAGGATGGCTCCCAGAGACCCAAGGGGCGTCCCAAGGGGCGTCCCAAGGGGGTCCCGAGCAGGAAAAAGCAGCGGTTTTCCAGCGGTTTCTCAATGTTTTCGTGCTTCTCGCATTCTCAAGCTTCTGACGCTCTAAGAAGGCCCCAGAGACTCCGTAGACCGCTCCGAGACTCCCCAAAAGGCCCAGGATAGGGGCCCAATTTTGCCCCAAGAGGGCCAAAAGACGGCCCAAAGAGGGACCCAAGACAACAAATGATCGCCCCAAGAAGGTCCCAGGACGGGGAACACGAACCGGAAATCTGAGCTTTCCACCCCAAGAGGCCCTGGAGAGGCCCCAGAGAGGCTCTCAAGAGGCCTCACTTGGCCCCCAAAAAGGCCCCCAAGCGGTCCCTCCCCAAAGCCTGATCCGCACTTCTGGGGGCCGGCGGAATTGGGTAAGCCGATGGAATATGAAGAAGGAGAGGAGGAACGATTGGGAGTGAGATCGTTTCGCCTTTGAACGCGCTTGGTCTGCTCTTGCTCAGGAGGCGGTCGAGCTTTCAACCTTTATGCAACAACATGCCGCAATCGGAAGCCAAGGCACATACTTGGCGAAGGCCTGGCCACTCCACGGCGACGCAGAGCCTCTTCTGCAATGAGTGCGCGAATTGAGCCTGCTCGCGTGGGCTCTCCATCCCCCTGGCCTTGTCCCCAAAGGGTTGCTCCCCGGGAGCAGGAGGAGGCGTTGGAGGGCGAGGTACAGGAGGACAAGGAGAACGAGGCCCAAGCAGAAACGAACTAACATTGGCACGCCCAACATGGAGGACGAGCAAAAACTGGTACGGTGCCACACAGGACATGTTGTTCCATATTGATAGCGGCCGCTATTGGGCAGGTGACTTTTTGTCACAAGAGGACCACGTCCGCGGCCACACAAATAGTGAGCCCTGCACAAAGGAAGCAGGAGTTTTTATCGGTCTTCGCACCCATTTTTCACGTACCCATTCCGACCGCACCGAAAACGGCAGGAGCGAGAACGGGGGTAATTACAATCGTGACAGTGCCAGAAAACAGGACAAGAGCCCGCGTCAAGGCACCTACGAGGGTGCGGCGGGTGGGCGCCGGGGCGCCGATATGGGCTGGCCGCTCAGAAGCTGGATCCAGGCATCTGGAGCCGGGGCTAGGGAATGGCAGCCGGAGAGAAGAGATGGGAGTGGGTGCCAGAGCCGCAGTCGGAAAAGTGGGAACAGGAGTTGGACACGGCCTGCCCCTCATCGTGTGGATACATGGCTCGTCGTCGCAAGCGATGTGTCGTGACACTGCCAGAAGGAACGCTCAATCAGGAACCAAGGGGCCTTTCTGGTAACAACGGGCCTTGGCCACGATAGGCTCCCAGACCTGGATCTGAGGACCGGCCCCAGATGTGAGCCCCTCCTGAGCCCAAAGTGGTCCATATTTCAACGCCTTGACTGTGCGAGGATAGAGGCCTCCCATATGGGGTCCGGGTAGATGGGGTCGGAGGATCGCGCCGCCTCTCCGATACATCGGCGATGTATCGGCGATGCACCGGCGATGCATCGTCGACGTCGGCGATGCAATCGCGACGTCTACGTGAAGCAAATCAGGCCCCACATCGCGCCGCATCGGCGACGCATCGGCGATGCATCGGCGATTTGGCGCGATCCTCCGACCATTGGGGCCTTCTGTGGAGGTTCCTATTGGGCTATGAAACGCTGTACTGCGCGGGGGAGACGCATGGGAACGGTTCCACTGGGGCCTTCGGTGGAGCTCCTATGGGGCCACGAAACGCTGCACTGCGTGGGGGAAACGCCTGTGGACTTTGCTACTGAGCATCTAACATCTAACTCCGACCCCATCTAGGAGGCCTAGACTGCACGAGGAGAAGGCTGCCGTCGCAGCCTTCGTGCTGGCCGCGTCTTCCAGCTCCCCCGCGCGGCGGAGCTTCTCCTCGCAGGCCTGCGGGGCGCGGGGGGGGGAAGCGCGGCCTCGGCGCGCGCTGCGCGCGCGGGACAGGGCGAAGCTGGGCAAGGTCCCCGCCGCAGGACGGCACGGGGCACGCGGTGATCGGGGTGCTAGACAAGCGCGTTCCACAGTTCGCAAAAGTAACTGCTCGCAAACGGCCTTATATAACTAGAGAAACATCGAGGCCAACACATATTCTTCGGACGTTTGCGAGCAGGCATTCTGCGAGCAGTGGAGCGCGCTCGGTGAGTCCTGGGCGTTAATCAGTGAATGGGGCGATATATGGGGGGGGAGAAACGCTCACCTCTTGTGCCCCCGCTGGGCCCCTTCAGGGCCCCTTTCTATAGGGCAGAAGAGGTGCAGGAGGAGGAGGAGGCGGAGGAGGACCATCACTTGGCTGAGGAGGGAGGCTAAGGGTTGGCCGAAACCTCGTGGCGCTGAGCCACCGATCTTATCCATTGCGGCCGAGGATAAACCTATGGGCGACAGAGTCGGCAGGACACATCCGATGCTGAAGCAAAAGATGGCGATGAAGGGCCCTTTCGCGGGAGTATGCATCTTCCCCCTGAAGCGGTGTGCCTGACGCGCGCGCAGACGGACCGCGCGCGCACGCGCGCGCGCAAACAGTCACAAGGCGACGCCAGGACGACAAAGCACCGCTGACCCCTGGTGTAGAAAACGCCAGGACGGTGGCAGGCCCCGCCCCTGGTGTAGGCCAGTCCAGAAACAGAGGGTGCAAGGGTCTCCTTGGGCCGGCCTCAAGCGAGGCCGCAGGCCGCGCTTCGTCCCGCAGGGCTAGGGGCCCGAGGAGCCCGATCCCGACCCAGGCAACTTGATGCCCCGAGACTGGAAATTCTCTCCCATGGGAAGACTTCACGGCGGCGGGAGTTCGCACCTTCCCCCTGAGTACTGCAGGTTCGTGCCGTGTCGACCCTGGCGTTGGTTCCTGACACCGCGCTGGATCGTTCAACCTTGAACGATCGGCCGTCTCCGCAACGTCCGATCGTTCAACATCGACCGATTCTGGGCCGCCGTCGGCGTTCAACGTTGAACGTCGGCGGCGGGGTCGCCGCCGGTCGACACGACACGAACCTGCCGTAGGGGTGCCTGACACGTGCGGACTACGCACGGCGTGCGCGCAGCACGCGCGTGCACGCGAAACCGCCACACGTGGCGACGCCAGCGCGGCGAGGCAAACGCCCCCCGGCGTAGAACAAAAACGCGCGGACGGGGCCAGGCCTCGCCCCAGGTGTGGGCCTTTCTCCAGAAGCAGAGGGTACGAGGGTCGCCTGGAGCCGACCTCGCGCGCGACCCGAGGTCCCGTCTCGCCCCGCAAGGCCAGGGGCCAGAGGCCTTCGGCGGGGGAGCCCGATCCCGACCCGAGCACCTTGACGCCAGAGACCGAAATCTAGGAGATTAGAAAAAGAACCCACGAGGACACTATGGTGAGGCGGCCTCCTCCTGCCTTGCTTGGGTAGCTTCTCGGAGCAGCTGCGCCGGCGGCGCTGGGGGGAGGCTTGGTGCGATCGGGCTGGCCGCGGCGCTCTTGGGGCGGCGGCCCGACCGCGCCCGCTGCAGCTGTGGCATAGCCCCGCTGTGGGGCGGTCTTGGACGGCAGTTGCCCGAGAGACCTCTCGAGTTGCCTTCTTGAAAGAACCGCGCGTGCGGCGTGCTAAGATGCTCGCGGATTGCACTGGGTGTTCATACGAATGCATGTTACGCCCCCGAGGGTTGGAGGCTAGGCTGGGCATCTGAAGGCAGTGTCCAGGGCAATCCATGATCCCGCCCCGCTCCTCCATGGCTTTGATCGAGCGGGCGCGGATGCGGCGGATCGCGCATCGGCGCTAGCCCTTGACAAACGCCCGGGCGTCGGCCCTCGGAACCGCTGGGGCCCACAGGGGGCGGGGGGGGAGGAGGGGGGGGAGGAGGAGGATGGGGGGGGGGGCTGCGGGGCCCCGGGAGTCCAAAGCCGAGGCGGCCCCCCAGGAAGGGGGGGGCTCTTGACGGGCCTGGCCAGCGCCTTGTTCCTACGCGGGGCGCTCGCGGGCCACTCTCCGAAGGCTTTGGCGGCGTATCCGAGGTACTTCCTAAAGCGAGCAGCGTCGCTTTGATGCTGCTCGGCCTCGGCGAGACTGGGTTGGCAGCCGTGGTTCGAGGCGGCCTTGGCTACTCTGTCAGCGGCATCGCTGCCGCGCGCTAGGCGGCATTCATCACTATGTGGGGCTAGGGCGTCAATTCTGGTGGGCCTGGACTTTCTGGAGTCAGGGGCCAAGGCTGCTGTGACCTCCACCCGCGAGGACTTTGCAACGGGCCCATCTGTTCTTGCGCGGACACCCTGCGCTGCCATTCAGCTGCAGGACTCCCTTGTAATCCGGACATGTGTTATCAATTCTGGGCGATGGGCTGCCAACCGCAACGACGGCAATATGTTCGGCAACACTGGAGGTTTGGGACCCAAAAGCTCCGACGCGGCCCCTGAACGTGGCAAACTCTTTACCGTTAACCATGCAAACAACGACAAAACCAGCAACATTGAAATTGCAGTGCCCGGGGCACGCGCAGCTGCCCTCCCCAAAAAGTCCCCCGCGAAAGATTCCGCGGGCCTTGCATTGGGGTTACGACACCAAAGCCGAACGGATTCCAGACCCGTGCCGGGCGGCCCCCCCCGCGAAATTGGGAGCAAATTGGAAGCCGGGAGGTGCTCGGGATGGGGTCTTTCAACCTGAGACGCTCTCCACTGGTGAAATCCGATCTGGCATTCTCGGTCTTGGGGCGCTCCAGGAGGCGGGCCCGAAGATCATCCCTATGGTGGCCACAGGGCATCCTCGGGGCACGTCGTATCCAGCGGCCAAGGCACGCTCCATAGTCCATGTACTCTGGGTGACGAAGGCAAGGGGGGGGCCGCGCTACTGCTTAGACAGGTCGGGCGAGCTGAGCACAGGGCGGACTGCTGCGGCCTGGAGCCGCTCACCTGGGCACCCCATCTTGGTGGCAGCTCTTTCGGCCAACTGGTCAGTCATGCCAAGCAGTGTCGAGGAGCTTGGCCACGCGCGCTGGGGAGGTTCCTTGGGGGGGGGGGCGCGCATGTCCCGCGGGCGAGGCATACCTGAAGGGGCCATGGCAACTCCACCCCGCACTGGCCAACGAAATGGCGGCGGCGCCCAAGGGGCTCCTGCAGGAACACCAACATTTGGCTGCCCTGGGCAACATTTCTTCACCCCACCGACGCACCTGTTGGAGGCTAGTAACAGCTGTCGCAGGGCTGGCGTTGGCTTCCCAGACCAGATGGCGCCGAAGAAGGGCAGGTCCAACGCCGGCTTTTCACAGGGGGTCCTGGAGGATGAGGGGCGCGAGGACACGGTTTTTGGAGGCGCATTTCGGACCTGTTGTCGTGAGATGCTGTGTTTTGGATTGTTCGAGCATCGTGTTGTCGACGCCTGCGACCTCCGCTCCAGAAGAGGCGGCCGCGGCTAGGCCAATATTTTATAATTTCTCGCCCTATCCTCAAGCGCGCTTGATCATTTTGGCGCGGGCCTAGCGTTGCTGGATCTTCCGGAGATGCTCGTTGAGCTCACGACTCTGACTCCATCCCCGCCAGGGCCGACCAGCCCCGCTTTCGATGTCGAAGTTTCGCCGCGAGGCAACCGCGGAGGGGCTCGCAAGCGGACCGAGGGCCTTTCGGAACTAAGTTTGGAGATTTTGGCTGGAGGCTAACACCTTGTTTTTTTGGTGATGATCTGGCACTTGAATTCATGCGTGATGCAGCTGGCTAAAGAACGGACTGCGATGTTCAGCTGGCTGACATCCGGCTCGTAACTTCTGGCATGGCACTGCAGCATAAGATCATCCATGAACATTGCGAGTCTGACGTGGCTGCTCGCGCTTGTCCACTGATCTAGGGGGGCGAGAACATGCATTTGAACTAGGCGCGTAGCCCGCCCGAACCCAGCAATAACGCCCCTCCACGCTTTGCCGACACCGGCACACGCGCACATCTCGATGAGCAACACACCTCGACCTGCCATGCTGGGCGAGTGTGTGGCGCGGAGCAAGCAGCGCGGGAAACCTGCGGCAGCGGCGCGCTTGGCAAGGCATTAGCTGTCGACGCGTTCGTAGCAGTTGGATAGGTCCCGAAGAACGTGGCCAGAATGATGGGGGTCGTCCTGGCGCGCGGAATATCTGCGCTCCAACGTTTGGGTAAACCTGCGGCAGCGGCGCGCTTGGCAAGGCATTAGCTGTCGACGCGTTCGTGACAGTTGGATAGGTCCCGGAGAACGTGGCCAGAATGATGGGGGTCGTCCTGGCGCGCGGGATATTTGCGCTCCAACGTTTGGGTGTAGACGAGCTCCACAATATTCTGTCGACGCGTTCGTGGCAGTTGGATAGGTCCCGGAGACCGTGGCCAGAATGATGGGGGTCGTCCTGGCGCGCGGAACATTTGCGCCCCAACGTTTGGGTGTAGACGAGCTCCACAAGCATTATCTGTCGACGCGTTCGTAACAGTTGGATAGGTCTCGAAAAACGTGGCCAGAATGATGGGGGTCGTCCTGGCGCGCGAAATATCTGCGCTCCAACGTTTGGGTAAACCTGCGGCAGCGGCGCGCTTGGCAAAGCATTTATCGGTCGACGCGTTCGTAACAGTTGGACAGGTCCCGAAAAAAACGTGGCCAAAAGGAGGGGTGTCGTCCTGGCGCGCGGAACATTTGCGCTCCAAACCGTTTGGGTGTCGACGAGCTCCACCGTATAATGCCCTGCCCGGCGTGCACTGTTGGCCAGAATGATGGGGGTCGTCCTGGCGCGCAGGACATTTGCGCTCCAACGTTTGGGCGTCGACGAGCTCCACGATATAATAATGCCCTGCCTGGCGTGCACTGTGTGGCCGCCTGTCGTGGGCCCGGGCGCGGCGGGGGGGCGCAGGGTAGCGTGCCCCAAGCGGCCTGCGCGCACGGGCTGCGCTTCGGCTGCGTCTCCTGTCGTTTTTGGGCTCGAGCACG